CAGCTTCCGGGTCATGTGGCCAGCATGACTAAGCTGCTTCTGGCAAACCAGAGCAGCACACAGAAATGCCGTTTACCTTCCCACCGGAGCGGTACCTATTTATCTACTTGCACTTTGATGTGTTTTTGAACTGCTAGGTTGGCAGGAGCAGGGACTGAGCAACGGGAGCTCACCCCGTTGCGGGGATTCAAACCGCCGACCTTCTGATCAGCAAGCCCTAGGCAATATGGTTTAACCCACAGCGCCACCCACGTCCCTTGATTTATATTTATATATATATATATATATATATGCAGGTTTTGGTGTCCTCGGGTGTCTTCCCGTGTAAAAGTTGGGGTGTCTAGGCGACGTTTCGACGAGGTCTCACTCGTCATCTTCAGGCTGGTGCTTTCGGCTTCTTGTTACTGGAACAGAGCAGCTCTGTTCCAGTAACAAGAAGCCGAAAGCACCAGCCTGAAGATGACGAGTGAGACCTCGTCGAAACGTCGCCTAGACACCCCAACTTTTACACGGAAAGACACCCGAGGACACCAAAACCTGCATTCCTGTACCCGTGAAAATCTACGAAAGCCAATATATATATATATATATATATATATATAGATAGATAGATAGATATATTAGTAATTTTGCACTGATTTTCATATGCATTTTTGTAATATTTCATTTAAGTTGTCTGTCGTTGCTTCAGTTTTTTGTACAGATATTTTTTTAATATATTAAGTGGCATAGTTATTAAATAATCAAAATCAAGGAATAAAATACTCAGAATCAGGCATTCATTGATGGGCTTTAAAAAAACAAATAAGGTGGATTGAGAGCATGCAAGAGAGTTCCTACACTTTCTGTATTTTCAAGCGGGACTTTTCTGCAACAGCAGAGTAGTTTCCACGGACCTGAGGAGGGTCTTATGTGGGACCTCCCACAAGGAGGCTTCCCCACTACACAAAAGTCATCCTCAAACCTGCAGAAGGGGACAGATGGGGACAGAAGGCAGAGCTAGCATGCTTGTCTACTCTCTCCCCTCCTCATCAGCTTAGTTAAGCCTGGCAGTGAGTACCTGAATAGGGCCAGTGGATGTCCTTAATCAGGACCCTGATGAGACAATGGACTGGATGAGGGCCAATAAACTGAGGTTCTGGAGATGACTGAGCTTTCCCCTAAATGATCAAGTTCACAGTCTGAGAGATGCTCATTGATCCTGCAGTGTCGCTTGAGGCAGAAATGGCCTCATCTTTAATCAGGTTAGGATAATATACCAGCTACAATCCTAAAAGGGGCTTTAAATTTCATGCAGAGAAATTGACGAATATGCCACCTCCCTCTTCCCATCAGGAACAGCCCAAAACTGCTTTGAGGACAGTCCCTCCATAGTGACCCCAGCACATAATAGGGGGACGGAGTCAGCATGGAAAGAGCACCTCCAATCTCCCCCATGCCTTATAAAATTGTATTGCTCTGCTACTGGCTTTATAGCCACAAATGACTCCACATTTATTATTAAAAGTCTTGAGCATTCCTATACCGTGTCTGCCACGAAAACTGCCAAAATGCACTGCATTGTCTTTAAACTATGCTAAAGAGGTATTCTAATATTAGTATGCCTTGAAGAATCAGAACCTAATTTGGTAAAAAAAAGAGGGAGACTTGCTAGTGATCCAAAGTGTTTAGATTTTCACCTTTTATGTATAATGCCCGACGGAGAGAAACAGATGCCCATTCCTGTTCTTTCTTAGCGTCAGATTTTCATAAGCTGTATTCATAACAGGGACTCTCTTTAAATGTATGACTGAATGGATCCATACTTAAAACACACATCTTTCCAAAGGCTGGAGAGGCATAACTGGCATCCATGGCTGCCCCAACTCTTCCTTTCTTGGGGGAAGAAGCCCAGAGCTCGGGGGGAGGGGGGTTCAATCCCCAGCATCTCCAGGTGGAGGTGGGAGTGCCCCCTGCCTGAAACTCCAGAGAGCTGCTGCCAGTCAAATGTAGACAATATTGAGGTACATAGACCAGTGGTCTGACTCAATATAAGGCAGCTCCCTATGTCCTTTGCCTCCACAGCAGTCGCCTTTCAGCTACTGCCACTTCTTAAATCCTGGCATCTCACTGTTGCCACGGAGGAGGCTTTCTCTCTGCCAATTTCACTACCCCTACCCCCCCCCCACTATTATAGGCAACGGTAAGTTATTAACACACCTGCATTAATAAGAAACATTGCCTTGGTCTCTTGACCTGAGTCTCCTATTTTCATTGATGTTTCACTGTTTAAGGCAATTTTGTGTGTGTGCATATTTTAATTACCAATCTTTATAGGGCAGTGGTCAGAGTGTTGGGCCCGGAAGAAGAGGGTTCAAACCCTCACTCACGGGGTAAGCTCACTGAGTGATCCTTGGACTAGTCACTGTCTCCCATCCAAATGTACCTCAAAGGGGAGTTGTAAGGATAGCATGGGGGGAGAGGAGAGAACCATGTAACACCACCTTGAGCTCCTTGGAGGAAAGGTGGGATATAAATGTAATAATAATACTTTTAAGGTATGTGCAACTGGTTTATCTTCTTTATAAACCGCACAGAAGTCTATTTTAGCATTAAGCAGTATACTACTACAGTGGTACCTCGGGTTACATACGCTTCAGGTTACAAACTCCGCTAACCCAGAAAAAGTGCTTCAGGTTAAGAACTTTGCTTCAGGATAAGAACAGAAATCGTGCTCCAGCGGCGCGGCAGCAGCAGGAGGCCCCATTAGCTAAAGTGGTGCTTCAGGTTAAGAACAGTTTCAGGTTAAGAGCGGACCTCCGGAACGAATTAAGTACTTAACCCGAGGTACCACTGTACTACTACTACTACTAATAATAATAATAATACCACCACCACCAACAACAACAATAATAAAGTAAAAGTGGTGAAGCAGAACCTACAGAAGTTGTAACCTCAATAGTCAAAGCTGAGACGAGCCCACACACTGCTGTGCAGCCAAAAGATGTGGTATTGTGCTGCCACTTGAATCTCCTTCAGGTGCCTCCTCCATGAGGGGTGCGGAGGGTGGTAACACCAGAACAGATCTTCTCTGCAGTGGCTCCCCATCTGTGGAATGCTCTACCCAGGGAAGTTCGCCTGGCACCTTCATTATACACCTTTAGGTGCCAGGCAAAAACGTTCCTTTTTAACCAGGCCTTTGGTTGACCTGATTGACATCCTATGCCAGGCTTCCTCAGCCTCGGCCCTCCAGATGTTTTTGGCCTACAACTCCTATGATCCCTAGCTAGCAGGACCAGTGGTCAGGGATGATGGGAACTGTAGTCTCAAAACATCTGGAGGGCCAAGGTTGAGGAAGCCTGTCCTGTGCCCTTTTAAAATGTGGCTCTTATTGGGGGAGTGTTATTGGGTTAATATTATTATTATGATTTTATATATTGTGATCTTTTCTGTGAACTGCCCTAAGACCTCCAGGTATAAGGGAGGTATATAAATTCAATAAAGAAATAAATATCTTTGCGCCCCATCCTAGGTGCTCCTTGTCTGATAATAATATTGTTCTTCTGAACCGTGGCATCCATAATACTAAGCGCAGAAACTCTGAAGAGGCAGTAAAAATGCCTGCAAACTAGCAATGTGGAAATGGGAATGAGTGCAGAACTAGATCTTTGCCACTGCACTGAATGGGCATCCTCAGATTACTATTTTGTTCTACAGAAGCTAAATAAGAAAAAAACCACTGGTGGCTAGAATGAAAACTGTACTGTTTTCAGTTTCCTGTTTTTGTTGTTGTACACCATCCTGATATGTTATGATATGGCAGTATAGAAGTAACTTAACAAAACAACAACATAACATACATGGAGAAGTTGTGGAGAGGGTGGTCAGATGATAATGAGGAATAGATCAGAGAGCTGGAGGAACCCAGGAAGGGTCCCAGAGGGTACAGGGAGGAGGAATCTGACCCAGAGGGCTCAGTGGGCTGTGGGTAGAAGTCTGGATCCTGGAGAAGGGCATAACAGGTTGTCAAAAGAGTACTCGACCCCTGTGACAGTGGAGACCCCACACCCAATGCCACCAGCCACAGAGCTGCCTTTGTTGGTCTCCCCTGTCAGTGTAGAGCCACACCTTTCTAAGGAGTCGCTGAGAGAAATGTCAAATGTTGATCTGGCTCCAACTCTGTGCCCAGTTCCAAGGATCTGGCAGGAAGAAATCTCACGGAGCCAGCCTCTATGGAGATCACTTCTCATTTGTATACAAAAAAAAGGACCAGACCACTGGGTGGAAAAGCTTTTTTCCTTCTTGCTGTTAATTGCTGTTACCTGAGGGTATAAGATGTGGGGAAAGCCAGTGTCTAATACAGCTTCCACCTGGAGGCTGCTTAGAGTACAGCAGCAATCAGCAATGTCCTGACAGCCACGACTTCATCAGAAGCACAATTCTGACAGAATTACAAAACACAGGTGCCTTGCTTTATAATACTGAGCCAAATAAAAACAAGCTTTTGAACTGGGGTGAGGAACTCTGGGCCTGGGGGTCGAAAGCAGCTTTCCAGGCCTCTTTGTCTGGAACTTTCCTCTGGCCACACCCCTCACTGGTCTTGCTCTAAGCCAGTTATAGGGAACCTGTGGCCCCTCACAGCCTCTTGGACTCCAACTCCCATCAGCCCCAGCAAGCAAGGCCAATGGGAAGGGATGCTGGGAGATGAAGTCCCTCTCCTCAAATGTGTCTTGGTGGGAATGTGCCTTTGAACTGCCTTCTGCTTGCCTGGATGGAGAGGAGCATACATGGGCAGGAAGCTCTGTCATCTGTGGGGCTGGAATGTGCAATGGCTTCCCCCCTTTGGGTCCCCATCCCTGCTTTGGAAGACTGAAAAGTGGCTTGGTTGTTTTATAACTCAGCTCCCAATTTGTGTTCCCCCACCAGCACCATCTGCAGCCAAGTTAAGACAGCTTAATTGCATCGCATGCAGCAAGATGAAAATATATTCATAACAAAAATGCCAGGGTGCAAGTTCTTACTTTTACTTCCACCATCTTTCCGCCGTGTTCAATGTGCCTCTCGAGGTATTCTGAAGACAGCAGATCACTGAAATGACAGGCAAGGAGTGCTCCGTTATATGACATTTCCTCAGCATGTAAACACCGGTGTTTAAAAAGCAAATACTTTTTTCTCAAATGTTCCTACACACACACTAAAAACACTTGACAGTTAGCTCCAGCAAAACTACATTCGAAATGTGTCATTTTTCATAAAAGCAGCTATGCTGAAAATGTGCTGCCAGTGTTTTAAAAACCAGTGACCTAAGAGATGCAGATAGCAGACAACCCAAACCCCAAATGGATGTATCAAACCTAACAAAAATAAAAAAATAAAAATACAGTAAAACAAACACTACAAAGCAATGACTCGTTTCTTTTCTAACTCAAGCATTTCAGTGTTTCTATGTATAACTATATAATAATATGAGCCTCTAGGTTTCAGGTACACTCCCATTATTTTTCTCATTGCTGTAACAATTACAATTCTTTCCGATAAAAACATACTAATTTTAGCAAGTAAGTATAAAGCAAGATGGCTCCAATAGATTTTCACCTTACTTAAAGCAGTAGTTAAATATCATTTTTCATAGGGAGATTGAGCATTTCGTGAGGCAGTGTGGGAGAAATCAATGAACTATTTGTTCACACTGTTTATTTGTTTTAAGAGTTATGAAATAAGGAGCTGTTTCTGACAAGGCCGCACATTTTGAAGTGATCTTTCTATTTGTCCCTAGGAAAGATTCTGCTTAGACAATTCTCAGTTATACATATAGAAAAGGTGGCAACAAGTGCAGATATCTGAGAAATTCCAGAGCAAGGGCAACTAATTCTGTAGCATCAGTAACCAGCTCCATGCTATGCAGTGCTATCCTTCCATTCTACCTGACGCTGAGTTGCTAAATTGAAAGTTTGGTGGTACTAATATGAACACAATGTATATGGCCCAATAAACTCTGTTTGGCCACTGTCGTTTTAGCATGTAATAAACATTGCAAGATCCAATGATTTAATGATAAGAGGGGGTGAAAACACTAGTGTAAATGAGAAGTTTCCCTTTACCAACTTTTTAATTAGAGAAAAGGTGGGGAACCTTCAGTCAAGAGGCCAAATGAGTCTACATAGAGTTGGAAGGGACCCCAAGCGCCATCTCATCCAATGTCCTGCAATGCAGCAATCTCAACTATAGCATCCATGACAGATGGCCACCCAATCTCTGCTTAAAAATCTCCAAGGACGGAGAGCCCACAACCTCCTGAGGGAGTCCGTTTCACTGTTGAACAGCTCTTACTGTCAGAAAATTCTTCCTGATGTTCAGTCGGAATCTCCTTTCATATAACTTGAAGTGACCAGTTCAGGTCCTAGCCTACAGAGCAGGAGAAAACAAACTTGCTCCAATGCTCCATCTACTGTATGGCAGCCCTTGAGATATTTGAAGATGCCTATCACATCTCCTCTCAGTCTCCTTTTACCAGGTTAAACATACGCAACTCTCTCAACCGCTGATCATAACACTTGGTTTCTGGACCCTTGATCAACTTGGTTGCCCTCCTCTGCACATGTTCCAGCTTGTCAACATTCCTATTAAACTATGGCACCCAGAAATGGACACAGTACTCCAGATGTGGTCTGACCAAGGCAGCACTATTAATTCCCTTGATCCACAAGAAACTACACTTCTGTTGATGAAGCCTAGGATAGCATTAGCTTTTTTGCTGCTGCATCATACAGTTGACTCATGACACAATTCTCATTTAGAAAACCCACCAGGAAAGCCAACTTCTATCTACAAGAAGTCATGTTCAGAGATATATCCAACACATACATTTAGAAAGCAAAACAAAATTTGACCACACCCTAAGGAAGAGCAATTTATCATTCAAAAGTCTGGTGGTATTAAAAAAAAAAGTCTGGCACCGGAATGCATTTATACCATGCTTGAGCATCAGGAATATATTTGAGGGCTAGCTATAACTAGTTTTGCCAATTTCTGGCTGTGTTGATGAAAACCAAACAACAGAACAGGCTTGCATTCCATACAAATTTAAAGCTGTAATCCTGTACACACTTTCTTAGGAGTAGGCCCCCACTGAATTCAGGAAGACTTACACACCTCAGGAGGCGTGCATAGGATTGTCCCGCAAATGCTTTATTTTAGTGCCGCTGACGGCTTGTTTACTGATACAAAACAGAGAGTGCAGAACTCCCACCTCACTTGGAAACCATCCTCTTAACGCTGCTGAGAGTAAAGAAGAATTTTATGAATCAAATAAAAGCATTTCTAGAGCACATTGCCAAAGTTTTATGGCTCTTCTTTGCAAACACCGCCACATCATACCAAACTGGGCTGGGAACTGATTTGTGGGGAAGGGCCATAGCTCAGTGCTAGAGCACATGTTTGAATACGGAAAGCTCCATGCTCAGTTCCTGGCACCTCCTGCTAGGTCTGGGAAATATTCCTGCATGAAAGCCTGGAGAACGGCTGCCTGTTGGACATAGACAATACTAAGCTAGATGGGCCAATAGTCTGAAATCAGTATAAAAGCAGCTTTCTGTGTTCAATAGGAGCATTATTTGTTTTTAACAAGATGCAGGCTAATGTTTCCCAGCGTGGAATGACAAAAGCCCAGTTTTTAATAAATACTGCAAACATCTTGCAAAGATTTATGGGAGACCTAACAAAAATCCAAGCCACCAACATAAGGCAAACAGCAGTAGGGGTTTTAATATGGCAAAACAGAATAGTACGCCACACATGCCATTTTTGCTGTACTTAAAGGGCATAGTTTTTTTGTTACAAGGAAATAATTGGCTTTTATTAACCTTCACGTCGCAAACAAAAAATCTAAGCAAATGCACAAGAATTGGCACTTGCCCTTGTGGCATAAAAGCACAGATTTGCTTTTGCAATGAAATCATTTGCATTTGAATGGTGACAAATAGCATGATTCTTTTATGTCCCTTGAAATCGGAATAGTGTTGCTTAACAGCAGGACTACCCTGAAATCCTGCTAGCTTGAAAGTGGTGGTAGTGAAGGAGGAGGCAACATATATATTAAGGAGCAACAGCTCTAAACCAACTTTAGGCTCACAGGCAGACATTTTTGGTTAAAACAAGAATAGCATAAAATCAATGCAGAACAGCCAGGTAGTCAGATTTCTTGGAAATCTAGAATAATCCTGTTGGGGATAGCTTTTCTGGGTGTGTCATGAAAACGGGGCAGGGAGGGTGTCGTTTGGACCCTACTGATTCAAGGATGCCCTGACGCATACCTTGTGGCGTTTGCCCGTTCATTTAGAGCCTGTCTGTACCGGGGAGGGGGGGTTAAAATGTAGACCAATCAGAAAGCTGGAGGCGGAGCCTACATGTGTATAAAAAGGCTTAGCCCGAGGTTTGTTAAGAGTTGTTGGTGGGTAGTTGGTTGGTTTTAGTGAGTTGGCTGGTTGGGAAAGGCAGTGGGAGAAGCAGTTGTCAGGCAGTTGGAAATAGAGAGACAGTTAGGGCAGTGGGTTCTTGAGTGAGGGGAGGTGGAAGAGATAAAGGTAAAGGGACCCCTGACCATTAGGTCCAGTCGTAGCTGACTCTGGGGTTGCGGCGCACATCTCGCTTTATTGGCCGAGGGAGCCGGCGTACAGTTTCCGGGTCATGTGGCCAGCATGACTAAGCCGCTTCTGGCTAACCAGAGCAGCGCATGGAAACGCCGTTTACCTTCCCGCCGGAGCGGTACCTATTTATCTACTTGCACTTTTTGGTGTGCTTTTGAAGTGGTAGATTGGCAGGAGCAGGGACCGAGCAACGGGAGCTCACCCTGTCGCGGGGATTTGAACTGCTGACCTTCTGATCAGCAAGTCCTAGGTTCTGTGGTTTAACCCACAGCGCCACTATCTCTGGTGGAAGAGATAGAGAGAGGGAAATAAGACTAAGAAAGTAAAGAGTAACAACGTTTGGAATGCCGTAAAAGTTTGTTTGTGTCAGAAATAAAATACACTCTTCTCTATTAATTTGAGAACCTGACAGAGACTGAAGTGATTTTACCGGGGAGGACCTGGTTGGTGGCAGCGGATTAGTGGGGTACAGGTCAATAGCCCGTGAGACAATCGGGGGCTTTGTACGACCGCCACACCCATTTCGAGTCCTACTGATCCCAAAATACCACCAGCAGTGTTTGCATACATCTATGCAAGCAGGGTGTTCCACCCATGTACCAGGAGTTCCTCCAGAGCAAAAGAGGATGTCCCTGCCAATGGCACTCATCTTCAGAAAAGCAGCATTCATGCTGACTCTTACGCCTCCTCAGCCAGACTCCAGATGAAGATATGATGGCTCTGTTAAGCACATTGAATATTGATGAAATTGTATGATAGTGAAATTTAGAAATAAGTACTTAGTCCTTTATCAGCCATCCCGGGGACTTTGCACTCCTTGGCCAGAACACTGGAAGGCAGGATAGGGTTCAATTCTTACCAAGCAATCAGGGGGAAAGAGATGTAGCTCAGTGGCACAGCACACGCTTCTCGTGCAGGAGGTCCCAGGTTCAATCCCTGGCATCTTCAGGTAGGGCTGGGAAAGAACTGTGGCTGAAACCCTGGGAAACTGGTGCCAGCCAAGGTTGAAGATTCTGAGCTAGAATGGTCTGGCTCAGTACAGTGGTACCTTGGTACTCGAACGGCTTGGCTCCTGAACGCCACAAACCCAGAATTGAGCGTTCTGGTTTGTGAACGTTTTTCGGAAGCTGAACGTCCGACGTGGCTTCTGATTGAGTGCAGGAAGCACCTGCAGCCAATCGGAAGCCGCACCTTGGTTTTCGAATGGTTTCAGGAGTCAAACGGACTCCTGGAACAGATTAAGTTTGAGAACCAAGGCACCACTGTATACATCAGGAGCAGGTGTCAGGAGCAGATGAGCAAAACTCACATGTTGTCAGTGAAGTTAATTCTTTGTTCAAGGAAACAAAGACAGCTCAGGAGGCCAGGCCAAGAGAACACAGAAACTCTTCCCGGTGGAACTTGCAGTTGTGAGGGCTGAAGTTACCCGCCTTCCCACAGCTC